CCTCACTTTACTCCTCCATGAATGGCAATCAGTGCCCCTCACCCGCGGTGACCAGGGTGGAGATAGCAGGTGCCTTCGGTCCCACACGTCACCAGCCAGGCTGAGGTGCGGCTCCACCTTGGACACCCTGAAGGCTGCGTCACCCCAGTGTCGTATCAGGGTCCCGCACCTGCGAGATGAATGAATGCGTAGGGTCGGTCGGTGTGAGAGCTACCTCAGCTGACACAGAAGCCATCGGGCAGGAAGCCTCTGACAGAAGCTGGGCGCAGGACCAGTGGCCTCTTTATGTCACATAATCTGAACGTAGCCCTGCAGAGTACACAGCATCACAGCTACAGGGACGCCTGCCTGGGGCTCACAACCCTTCGCCTGTCAGTCACAGCTGAGTGACCACGTCTAGGAAAGCCAGTGAAGCAGGGAGAGGAAGAGAAGACCAGAGGCCTCGCACTGGCAAAGGCAAACAACTCCTATTTTAAAAATTGACTTTTGAAAACATCAGCCACCCGTCTCCTGTTACGGATGGAATCGAGCCCACCCCAATTCGCGCGTGGAAGCAGAGCCTCGCACCAGGACACCAGGACATGCCCCTCCTCAGAAACAGGTCCCCTTCGGCCCTATCTCTCCTCCCTCCGCACTGCTGGACTTTCCCCCTACCGCACTCAGGCCAGGGCCACACAGCAGCTGTGCACTAGACCCAGTGCTCCTCAGGATTAGCAGGAAAATGGGGCTTGGTGACCCCACCCTCTGCCAGAGTCACACATACCCCTGCCTCTGCCTGAGGCTGCAGGGCCCACAGTTCATGCACAGCCATTCACCTACTGCTGCTTAGAAGGAAGCAAGACAAGCAAAATAACCAGAAGAGACCTGACCACAGGGGTGCCCAGGGTGCCGACGACTCTGCAGTCACAGGGGCAAATCCACATGTAGATCTCCTCTACCCGATCTGCAGACCTTGCTGTTAACCATGGGACCTTGCAGGCCAGGCAGGGCAGCAATGTTCTCAAAGCCCACCTTAGTAGGTGCCACAGAACGGGTCACTTTCACTCAGAGCTGATTCCTGTGGGTGCGCTAGGAGGTGGCTGAAGCTCTGGGGAGCACTGGCCGGGCCCTAGAGGCCAGAAGAAACCAGAGGCAGGAGGCACTTTGTGGACCATCCCGTCTCTGCCTATCCTGAGCACAGATCTGGGGAGGGGCCCCTCTTGTCCCTGCTGGGTCCCCTCGACCAGAAGTCACTGTCCACTACACCAAGGATCGCTGTACTGGGGCGCAGGCTGCCCCCTACCACGGCTACTGGGCACGGGACAGGGCCAGCACTGCCTTCGACCTAAGCCCTCTCACCAGCAAACTCACTGCTGGGGACACCTTCCTTGCCCTCCCGGCGGGGGGGACACCAGGAGGGACACCAGGAATGCTGATTTCATCCCGAACGACAGCTCACGGCTGTCGGAGGGTGGCAGCCGGCACCATCTCCCAGCTGCTGATGGCAGCCAGGGCTTGCAGCACAAATTCAATTTTAGGATGTTAATCTTGGCCTGCCACTCAGAAATTTTCTCTGAGGGATATGATTTTTCTCTGGATTTCATTTTAAGAATGATTTTCTTCATCCACAATCAATAAAGATATGTTTTCATCAAAAGACTCTATCTTGGCAGAATTCAATTGGCTATTTCAATCCCTTTTGGTGGCACAGTATTAATTAAAATAGTTTATGTTCCACTTCAACTGGAAAAAGAGGCAGCGAAAGAGCAGCTACTCAGAACACATGTTCTGTACACATCAGCACAGAGGGCAAAAAATAATTTTCTCCTTCTCTGGGCAAGACATTAGCTATGCAAGACAGTTCTCGAACTTGGATAGTCATGGTGATCTCACCGGGAAAGGAACGATGGAGCTCTTGGTACAGGCATTTTTGTTCAATAAATAGGAAATGGGATGCATAGACGGCACGTGTGGCAAATGCCCCCTTCCACTGCCCCAAGAGGAAAAGGAAGAAAGAGCGGCCTCCCTGTGCCCCGGGGTGGGGACTCCCACCCAGGACCAGGGTCCCATTTCTCTTAACTGAATAAATGCATGAGCAACAATGCTATTAAAACCTCTCTAATGTTGAAATAAGGACTGTAATGGAATCCATGGTGTTTCCCAAAGAAGGCATAAAGGATTAGTTTTTACATTTTTCACATTAAAAAGAGAGAAGATCATAAAGGGTGTAGAGACAGTGCAGGAATTCTGCTGTAACAGTCCCTGGAAGCGCCCGACTCTGCTCTGCCAGAGACTTCCCGACCCCAAGATGCTGACCGGCCAACCCTGGAACCTGCGTGTCCCTTGTGAGAAGGGCAGAAGCTCCCATGGGCACAGGCAGGGCCTGGCACATAAGCGCCCTGCCTGGAAGGGGTGGAGAGGCTGCCCGGACAGAGGGCTCACTGTCAAGGAAGGGCTATTCAGCGGGCATCTCCATCAGGCTAGAAGCTAGGGAGAAAGAGGGGGAAGGAAGGGGTGGGAGGGAAGCTCAGTGTAAGGAAGCACAGGGCCCCTATAAATGAGGCCTTCTCACCTGCCTTGTCCCGAGTTCATCCAACCATTGGGCTTCTGAATACAAGGAGATTGCAATTTTAAGAAGCAGTCATCTTCCTGAGGGTTTTTTTTGTTTTTGGTACCTTTTTTGGTACCGGGGATTGAACTCGGGACCTTGCATTTGCGAGGCAGGCGGTGGAACCACTGAGCTAAACCCCTGGCCCAAGAAGCAGTCATCTTGATACCCTAAGGAGTCCAAAGATTGCACAGAGCTCAACACACCATCACTTCAATGTGTCACCTGTGCTCACAGAACACTTAGGCTAACTGGGATTTGAGAGCGAGAGCGAGAGGACAGAGCGTAGGTAAGTCTAGTCCATGTCCCTCTTTTCTCCTATTTTATGAATCAATGAAAACCAGCGGGGAGGTGAGCTCGAGACAGTAGTGGCTGGGGTTCGGATCCATTCAGACACTTGGCCAATGAGCAGCAGACAAGCGCGGACAGACAGACAGACTCAGGGACAGTCCCCATCGCATCTGTCACAAGCTCCTCAATCCAGACTCTGGGGAGGCACACTGGTTGCAGGAGTCAGAACCAGGCAGCAATGGGTCCACAGGGGAATTCAGACCAGATCTGCAGAGACACTCACACTTGTGGCCAAGAAGCCCGTCTCCACATGCTGTGCTTCCTGCACAGAATGACTCAGGAAATATCGAGTCAGCTGATCAGAGAAGATTCCCTGAGGGAAAATGAATGAGCAACCAACAAAGAACAACTACCCTGAAGTTCTTCCTGGGACAGGCATTCGGGGCTGCATGGACAGCAGTGGCCGGCCTGGCCCAGCCTCTCCAGCGAGAGCCCCTCCACGGTGCCCAACTCCCAAACTGAGTTCTTTGCTGACTGCTGGGCCCTGGGTGCCAGGGAGTATTTTCTCTTGCTCTGCAGGGATTACTGCAAAGCCATCTTCTTAAAAATCCACGAGGGGGAGAAGAGACTACCAGAGAAAACTCCAGGTATTCAGTGCTTCAGCACATTTGTGCAGTGTTTGCAAGACTGGTAACTCATGCATGACCAAGTTAGTATTTCTAGGCAAATCCTTCCACATTTAAAAGGGGTTTTGAAAAGTAATAGTACGAAAGGAATATCGAGAAGCTAAAACTCTTTAACAAACTCCTCCCAAAGTTTTCAGTTTGCATTCTGGTGTCCCAAAGTAATGAACTGATTTTCAACATCTCATCCACACAATGTTTTGTGAGACTCCCTTCAGCTTAGGCAGAGGCCAGCTGGAGCAGGGAGCTGGAGAGAAAGGCAGAGACCCTGAGGAGCAAATGCAGGAATGCGGGAGCTCTCCAAGTGGAGAGACTCTGGCAGGCGGGTGGAAGTCCACACACTCTTAACCCCAGGCCACGCCAGGAGCAAGTTTCTAGAGTAACAGGTCTGCTTTCTAGCGCACACGAATGCTATAAATCCCCTCTGTGGAGTCTGGGTGAGGGTCTCCCGTGTACTCAAAGGGGCCAAGTGAGGGCCTGGCCTTGGCTGAGGGCCTGCTGTGCCCAGGCCAATGGTTTCATAGGTAACCAAGCCTTCCCCGCGCTGCAGGAACCCTCAAATCGGCGCCCAGTAACGTGAAGTAATGGTAAGACCCACGGGTCACGCTTGAGGAAGCCAAAACTCAGAGGCTACGCGACCTGTCACCTTCCTGCAGCCGCCGCAGGGGTGTGTGGCCTGCATCTGCTCCAGGTCAGTGCCTTGAGCGACCAGGATCCTCCGGACCAGGGCACCCTCAGCTTCCAGGTTGATGTTTAGCCCGCCCCACCCCTTGTCACCAGGGCCCAGCCGAGCCGGTGCTGGCGTGGACCGGCCCACCCTGCAGTGGCCGGCCGGCGTCACGCGGGCCGGAGCCCACACCGGTCAGGACAGGCTGCCGGTGCTCGCAGCACTCTCGGCTCCCCTGGCCCAGCGCCTGCTCGCCTGAGGCGTCACGTGTGGGACTAAACCTCGCCTCGCGCCGAGGGAGAGCCCAGGGAAGCCGCCTCCCCCGTGGGCTGCAGCGCTGCCCCATCCTGCCGCCCCCAGCCACCCCGCGGCCCGCGCTCACCCCGAGGCGGGAGGGGTCCGTGTGTCCCGGGCCTGGGAGCCCGCAAAGCCTGGAGCGAGGCCTCCCTGGAGCCAGACCCGCCCTAGAGAGCAGGTTTCCGGACGGCCCGAGCCCAGGTCCTGTAACCGAGCCGGTGGTCCTGCTGAGGATGGCGACGACGGAGGGCGAGGGGCTGCTGGGACCCTGGAGCCGGTCTAGGGGCTCGGCGGGGCCCCGGGGCTGCCGCGCAGCCGCAGCCAGGACTCCGGGCCGGGTCCCCGCGAGCAGAGCCGAGCCCGCGCCCGCCGCCGGGGAGCAGCGCCCCGGCCGTCCCGGAGGACGAGCCCAGCGTGGCCCCAGGCGACCCGCGCCCGCCGCCCGCCGCCCGCCGCCCGCAGCCCCTGAGCTCACCCCGCGGAGCCCCGCGCCGTCTGCGCCGAGCTCGGCGTCCAGGCGAGCGCCCCCGTCCGCGCTTCAGCCTCCGGAGCGCCGCGGGTCCGGGCGCCTGGCGGGGTCGCAGCCTGCGCCTGCCCGCGAGAGCCCGCGTCGACCTCCGGGACATCCACCGCGGCCGCGGCCCCGCCCACGCCCCAGGTGCCCGCGGCCCCGCCCACCCTTACCAGGCTCCTCCCTGGGGCCGGTGCCCTGCACCTGCCCAGGGTGCCCACCCAGTCCTTGTCCTTGGAGGCTGGAGTAAAGCAGCACCCTTCCCAAGTCCCACACCTGTCTCAGCACTTCCTCCCTCGCTGGACAGGAGGCCTGGCGCCCAGGGCCCACAGAAAAGGGGACAAGACAAAGAAGAGCTGGGGAGGAAGAACGCGCTGCGCGGGGCTGCATACCAATGCAGTCACTGCCCATGCTGAACCTGGACCCAGTCCTTGCACCCTGGACAAAAATTAATTCAGAATGGCTCGTAGATCTAAATGTGGAACATAAACTTTAAATCAGCTAGAAGAAAACAATGAAACCCTGGTTATCTCCGGTTAGGCCAAAACAAAAAATAAGCCATGGAAGAAAAAGTGAGAAGCTTGGCCACTTCACCAAAGAAAACATTACGGATGCAAAGTGAGCTTACGACACAATTCTTAGCTTGTCTAGCTCTCAAGGAGCCGCTCTCAGCTCCATAGTTTGCTACTTCTCGTTGAGCTTGGGCACTCCTGATAGCCTTCACTGCTGTTCACCCTTTCCTCCCAAAGTCATTCACGTTTGTGTCTCTAGAAGATTCTGCTCTCCGGGAAACTGCCTGCACCCACCTGACCACGTGGTCTGCCCCTGGTACCCTGCGGAATCCAGGAGTTTGAACACAAGGACAAACATCCATCTGCCTCTGATGCAGGTGTCGGTGCTGATGAGATGCTGCCACTCTTCAGACTCCAAACACGGAACGATCTTGCAGCTACAGTGACCATCCCTGGAGGGTCCCGATCCCTTCAGTCTGCCAGAGCGTAACGCAGAAACCAGCAGCAAGAATGTCAGAGAGAGGAGGTCAGTGTGGCCCACCGCGAGATCGTTTAGAGCAACAGTGATGCTCCGATCAGGACTTGTCCCCCAGGTCTTTGGTGCTCTCTCTCTCTGTGGCGGAGCCTTCCCCAAGGTGGGAACTCCTTGGTGACTGCCTTGTTTTTAAAACATTAATGTTCATCATATTTGCAGTCCACAACGTTCACATTCCTTATGTGGATTGGTGCATGCATGTAACTAATCTTAATTCCTTTATTCAGCCCCTTCCCTCTCTTCTCTACCCACTCCCCTATCTCTCGGTCTCCTTTCCACTTGCAAAAGATCTATCTCCCCATTTCCTATCATCTATTTTTTATTTTGTTCTTTAATTTATTTATATTTTGGTTTTCTCATATAAGAGAAACCATGGAATATGTAAGCTTATGTGTCTGATTTATTTCACTGAACACTGTGGTCTCAAGGTGCATCCATTTTCCTACAAGTTACTCAAATTTATCCTTCTTCATGGCAGAGTAGTACTTGATTGTGTGTAAATACCATGTTTCTTTTATCCATTCACATGTTGATGGACATGTAGGCTGCTTCCAAGATTTAGCTACTATGAACTGTGCTGCTATCTATCCATACAGGGCTGTGTATGGATTACTGCAATATGATGTCTTTAGCTCTTTTGGGAAGATGCCTAGAAGGAAAATTGTTGGGTCAAATGGAGTTTCTAGTCTCAATTATCTGAGGAATGTCCACACTGATCTCCTTAGTAGTTTTGTGACTGCCTCCTGAGGAAAAGGGTACGGAATGGGGAACAGAGGAGAACTGTGCTCCTCAGCTCTCCTACTGCTGGGACACAAAACATGACAGCTGCATCCTAAAGGAGAAGTCAGTATGGCTCACAGTTTCAGGGGACTCAGTCCATGGCAGAAATGGCATGGGAGAAGGGCCTGGAGGAGCAGGGTGGCAGCACTGTGCTCTATTAATCTGCCAGGCATCTCTTAACCCAGTGAGGCACTAACCCTAGTGGTGTTAGGGATCCCAGTGCTACTGGGTATAGACTGCAGGATTACCTTGCTCTCTGTCTGTGGCCAGGATCAGAGGCCCCTCCCTTCGGCCACCAGGCCCTGAGGCCACCCAGGGGAGGGGCCACCTTGTGATCTGGTAAGTAGGTACTGCAGACCTGTGGTCGGTGACTGCAGCTGCTCCAGCACCCTGACCTGGAAGCATGCAGTCCAGACTCAAATTCCCACCCACAGATATGCTGCAGTCATGAAAGCTGATTGTTTGCAGTCAGCAAGATTCAGGGTGATCTGTAACGCAGCAGGGGTGACTAATACAAAACCCATGCAAGAGTCTTCCCGAAGGAGATGTGCTGAAGACGCGGGGTCGCCAGAGAGCTCCATGACCTCTGCGCAATCAGACTTCTGTGTCTCCCAGGCCTGCATGGTGTGGCCCGGGCTGCTCCTCTAGTGGTCCGGTGTTGGCCCCGTCTGGGAAATGCACCCTCTCCTTAGGGCAGAACCTGGTTCTCCCCAGGGCTGAGACCAGACCATCGCTGCCTGCCCCACACACTGGCCCTGGAGCCCCAGCCCCAGCCAGCATTTGCCCTGCCTGGCCACTTCTGGTTTTGAGCCCAGGATGGGGCTTCTGGTGGCTTCATCAAGGATGAGGACCACAGTCCAGTGCCCGCAGCACAGGCCCTAGGAGCTGTCCAGGGCAGCGGCAGTCACATCTCCTCGGCAAATGCGCTTCCCACTCCTGAGAGGGAGCCACAGCCCTTCCAGAGCCAGGACATGGGGGTGTCCCTGATATATTTCAAAATGACAGTGAAAAGGAGTAAGAAATCCCCAACACCACAAAAGCAATTCATGTTTGGAGAGATGGAAATGCTTGGTACCCTGATCTGGAAGTTACACATTGCCTACATGCACTTAATTACCACACAGCACCACACCACAGGAAGGTGTACAAAGTCAGTGGTCCCTCAGTTCACGAACTCGGTTCCTGCCATGACTCTGGTTGTAAAGTGAGTTGGGCAAGAACCGAATCAAGTTCAGTGGTTAGGTTAGTGTTGACCTTATGGGGAAATTACGAAGTTGCAGAATTCCAAGGATGATAATAGATTCCCAAAGCTTCTGGAGAGAGGAATCCAAAGGCCCCTGCCGAGAGCAATGCCATTGTCTTAGATGCCCTCACTGCAGTACAGGATCCTAGAACCCAGGGCTCCCAGCCGAGTAACAAACAGTTACAAGGCATCTCCTTGTACATGCAAGAGCAGAACATCAAACCTCCCTACATGCTTTGCAGGAAACCATGGTGAATGTCTTCTGCAGCGCAAAGAAATCGACCCCAAAGAAGGAAGCATGATCGCCAGGAATTATGGGGACACTGAGGGGCTTGAGGGGACAGAGAAGGGAGAGCTGGGCTGCAGCAGGTGCCTGGCACCCAGCAGCCTGATGTCCACACTGGGGGAAGGAAAGACCAGGGCGGAGAGGCCTCCAGGGCCAGGCGACGGTGTGGACGGGGAGTGACAGCAGTGCACAGAACACTGACACTGCGAGAGTATCAGCAACAACAAGTAAGCAAACTCAGTGCGATGCAGGTACTTAAAGTTATCTAAAATAAAGAAAAAATAGAAGCTACAGCACTTAAAATTAGAAAAAGGATGCTTAAAAATTGCTGTGGGAAGCCAGGCATAGTGGGACTATGTGACTGTAACCCCAGCCCTCTGAGAGGCTGAGGCAGGAGGACTAAGAGTTCCAACCTGGCCCTTGCAAAACTCAGCCATGCTGGTGACAAGGCCTCTCCTACGGGACCACAGGGCACCTCCGATGTCCTCAGCGGTGCTCACGATGGTGGTCAGAAATGATCTTTCTGCTGAAACCTCAGGAGTGGATCTCCTGGTTTGTAACTAAAACTAAAATGAGCAACAGATAAGAAGAGCTTAGCATTGGCCGTGCACATTTCTCATATGCTTTCTGCTAAGTTATAATCCTCTAAGTGGAAACCACGAGGGTGGGGTACGAAACTAGGATCCAGACCTGCAAACAGCAAGGACTCCAGGAGGCTGAACAACTGTCCTGACCCGTCACCAGGGAGAAGCCCAGGACTTTAAAATTTCATGTCCTTCGGCGGCAGAAGTCCATAATTTTAGACACTGTCACATACAGTACTGTATTTTGACTCTGTGAAAAGATGTCTAGAAAGTTAAGAGCTTCACTCAGAGTTGTGCACTTAGTCATGACCAAGGTGGGCTCAAATGTCGATTTCAGTGGACCCTGTGTCCTCCACACAAACACACTGTCTCAGTGGACACTCAGAACACTCTAGTGATTTCCTGTTCACCACTTGAACCCAGGACTTAGTGATTCCATAAACACAGATTCGGAAGAGCATTTGAGTACAGAAAATCAAACAGATAAGCAATCACATGTATGTGTATGTGTGTATTTGCACACGTGTGTGGGAAATAAGTGTGCATATGTGTTCTTTCTTTGTTACTGAGACTCCAGATCCTTGGATTGACTTTTAAAGACGTTTATGTGGCTCAGAGTCTAAAAAACAACAGCAGACTCCTGCTGAGAGCTCTGCCATGAGCAGCCCAGCAGGACCATATTTTAGGTGAAAAGCAACACTTAAGCTATTTTTCTAGTAAGGGATTTCAAGGTCAAATCCATTTTCTGCTCATGTTTTAGAAGTGCCTACATTGAAAGAAAAACAAGAAAAGGCATGTCAATTTATTTTTTAAATGACAGAACTCTGGGTTTTAACAAAAAGTGAACATTTGATAATTTGAAACTGTTAGGACAACAGGGACCGAAGCCAGTTATCTTCCTGGGAAAAATGCTTCCTAAATGCTTAGTCCAGGAGCAGAACAATGACGGAGGCCATGGGGCTGTCTGATTTCACAGGTTCTGTGAACTCTTCTTAGCTATCTGTAAATAACTGTGTATTTTATCATCAGCTGTCTTAGCTACATTTCTCATTGCTGAGACAAAATACCCAACACTCAGAGTTAAAGGAGAAAGGGCTGGGGATTTAGCTCAGTGGTTTCGCTGTCTGCTGCACAAGCTCAAGGACCCAAGTTCGATCCCTGGTACCAAAAAAAAAAAAAAAAAAAGGAGGAGTGTTTACTCAGCTCACAGTTTGTAGAGGTTTCAGGTCATAGCCAGCTGGCTCCAAGGCAGGGTGGCACAGCAGAGGGCTTGCAGGGGAGAAACAGTCCATGGCAGGCAGACAGGCAGCAAAAGCAGCAAGCGACCAGCATTGACCCTGTTTCTGTCCCTTATGCTACCCAACTTACACTCAACACTTGGGGCAGGCCCCTTTGTCCTACCCAGAACTGTCCCAAACCAACCAGCAGACCAATTCAGCATCACACACCCTTGGTCCCAGCACCCCACACCAGATCCAGCACCTCTGACTATGTGAGGCTTTGGGGGACACCCAGACACAAGCTGTAACATCAGCACATGGAAGCTTCTGCAAGAAAGACCATGCCATATATTTCAGCATATGCTGGCATGGAGGGAAGGTGATTCCCAGAACTTAATTATGTTCATGCCCAGGAAGGCACAGGGAGCAGTGTGGTCCACCAGTGCAGTCTGCCCGAGAAAATAAGCTAGGAGCTCTTAGGTCAGAGAAGACCCACAGCTGAGTGAGCAAGGCCAGGATGAAGTCTGAAGCGAGTTTATTGCCTCCAGTGACTGCACACCTGAGGTGCAAGTCTGGGAGTGGCCCGGCCAGGGGTGTTCAGGGGTGTTTGATTCTCTGCAGGGCTCTGGGCTGAGAAGCCCTGGGGAAGGGTGACTGGGCCAGAGGGGACAAAGTGGGTTTACCTGACAGGTTGAGCCAAGTCATGTCTTTCTAGGATTTCCCTTCCCCAGAGTGGTGTCATCTGGTCAGGACGAGTTAA